CCCTGAGCACCCGAAAGCTAAAAACCAAACTTGAAATTCTTTCTTTCTCTCTCCTTTTATATCCCTACACTTTTATTATCTTTTTAAAAAATATATTTTTATTGATTTCAGAGAGGAAGGGAGAGGGAGAGAGAGAAACATCAATGATGAGAGAGAATCATTGATTGGCTGCCTCCTGTATGCCCCACGCTGGGGATCAAGCCCGCTCCCGGGGCACGTGCCCTGACCGGGAATCGAATCATGACCTCCTGGTTCATAGGTTAATGCTCAACCACTGAGCCACACCAGTTGGGCTATATCCCTACAATTTCATTTTAAAAAACAAGATCTCTATTTTCTTAATTTGGTCACTCATCATGTTTTATAAAAACTCAAAAACCCCTTTGAAAAGAGGGTGGGGAACGCCTGCTGCCTGAATGGCGATGACTGAGCACGTGCTCACTGTGTTCTCAGCACCTTCTCCACGCCTCCTGCTCTCCTCCTCCCGAGGGGGCAGAGCCGCTCACGCCCGTGGGTCACAGGGCGGGCAAATTACTGCTGGTTTGGCTCAGGCAAAAGTCACCATCACTGGTGCTGAGCTCTGCTCTGGGTCTCCTTCCTCGCCTTTCTCCCATTTCCCCAGACACAGATTAATCACAAGTTAATGGGAGCCCAAAGTTGAACAATATAGGAATCTTTTCAGGGTGGATTTTTCTGCCTTTTCCCCCCGGCTGCTCTGAGATTACTATCAATGCTGCATCTGTTGGCTGAATCAAATCTTTCAAAGGTAATACATGATCCTGGCTGCTAGAATTCGTCTCTGACAATCCAATTGTGGAGGGAGCTGGGAGAGGCCCGGCACGCAGGCACTCTTCTTCAAGGTTATTCCTTTGCGAAGGAGGGTGGCTTCTTTGTGTGTCTACACAAAGGGAATGGAGTGCTGAGGGATCTTATCAGCCACTTGCGCCTTCCCGGGCACGTGGACTTCACCTCTTTGAAGCAGCCTCTCCGGAGGGGCGCAGAGACGACAGGCTGGGGATGGCTGGATGAGCAGGGTTTCCTTGGGGTGGGGGCTGGGAGTCCTTGTCTTCCTCGTAAAGATACTCAAGGCCTTGCAAGCCGGCTGGGAGGGAGGGCTTCTGTCGTAAGCTCTTACAACAGAAGCAAGCAGAAGCCGGAGGAAAATGAGGCTAGGCTCCCGGGGGCCCCATGCTCCATCTCGGGAGTTGGATGGAAGCTTCACTTTCAAAGACCACAAGAGAACTTTACCCGCACCGGGCTGCTGAAAGGTGACGGACAGATTGGGAAATGGAGACGGAGAGAGGAGAAGCCCCCAGCTCAGGACATTTGCTCAGAGGTAGTTCTGAGGTCAGGACTCGGGGGCCCCACACCCCACCAGAACCTGCAGCTGCTCTGTTTTGGGATTAGGAGTTACAGAGGTGTCCCTCGGTTTTTCTAGGGCCCCAAGAGAAGGCTCTCTAATGGAACAAAGGTTGATGGGAAGAGGGAAGTGACCTGTGTCCACACAGACGAAGACAGCTCTTCTCTGTCCCTGGGGACAGGCCAGTGCAACATGAGACGCTCAGTCAGACTGGAGGCTCTGAGCCTCGGCAATTTTGCCTCCCCCGTGCCACCCAGGAAACGTTTCTGGTTTTCAGAATTTGGGGGCGGGGTGTTCCTACTGGCATCTTGTGGGCAGAGGCCAGGGATACTGCTAAACACCCTAAATTGTACAACAAGGAATTATCCAGCCCCAAATGTCAACAGCGGTGAGATTGTGAAACCCTGAGTTAGACTGAGCTTTGTGAGTGTTGGGGGCTCAGCCACTGGGGCAGTATGCCAAGAGAAAGGAGTGCGATATTTTTTAAAATATAGGGCTACGCCAGCTCGAGGGCAGAACCATCTGCTCTGTGCGGGCACTACGCCACGCTGAGGCTGCAGAGGTGGACGAGCCAGGCGCTCCTGTTCTCAAGGAGCCCAGGCTCATGTGGATTCTGAGGAGACCAGCCTGGGGGGTTGGCTACCCGGTGCTCTCGGAGCCTCCACTTCTAAGTAGCGCTACTGCCTCCCAGTCTCTGAACATGACACACATTAAAGACAGTAAAGTAAATAATCATCAATATTGGATGGGCTGAGATTAGCGACAGAGAAGAGGGAGTCCTTCCAGATTAATAATGCATCGAGGACTCCTTCAGAGAAGGGATAAATTATGCAGGGCATGGCTGCTCAGGCACGGGAGGAAACAATAGCTCTTTCATTTGGGCCCTGGTTGGATCTCTGTGGCAGGGACTCGCCCTGCATTAGATCTCAGTAGCAGCCTTGCTTCCTGTCCCAGAGAGGGGCCTCCACTGGCTTCCCAGCAGGCATGGGGGTTCCTGTGTCCCCTAACTATGAAACAGCCTGAGCTAGTTACCCAGTCCTTTGACCAGTCATGTGGAACTCCTGTGTTTAGAGCATTGGAGCTCTTACCCTGGCTTCTAGCCTAGTTGCCACCTCCTTCCCTGACCAGCATAGCAGTCTCCAGTAGTTCTTTCTGCACACAGCCCTGGGCCACAGTGACTTGAGCACAATGTGGACCAGTCATATATATATTTCAATGATTCTAAGATGCATTTTCTCCCACATTTTCATATCTCTGATATTGAGTGTGTTATACAATCAATGGTGCATCATGATTCAGTTGATAGCATTTTCCTTGTTTAGTAGTCTATAAAATACAGCTGTGCCTCACAACTGGTTTTGAAGAAATATGATAGAAGGTGTTCAGTGTGTATGACTGCCCCAGACCTGAGTACCTACGGGCTGGACTAGAGATGAAGGACCCTTTATTTCCTCTTTGCAGTCCACCCCTGCAGGCATTCAGTGTTTGTTGAATGAATGATTGAGCAAATGAGTGCTCAGCTCATATATAGGCCAATTCTGTTGGCTCCAGGCCC